GGGCCCTGGCGAACTGGGCTCGTCTGGCCCTGAGTCCTCCTTCCCCTCCCACTCCCCATTCCTCTCCACAGCTTGGCGCCCACCGACGCGGGCCACAACGCGGGGCATCGGGCCTACAGCGCAGGCAACATAGTCCATTCTGTGTGAGCCTGCTGCGGGCATGGTGGGAGTAAGCACGACGCCCTCACATGCGAGCGATACCGCCCTCGGCAAATCCAGCGAGCACGTCATCAGGCGCGGCAGGGGGCTTCGCCGGGCTGCGAGGCGAGGGCACCCTCGCGGGGGGCAGTGCTCAATCTCGCGGGAAGGGCCCAAAGACGCTCTCCACGGTCTCCTCGGCGCAGGCCTCGCTGAGGAGCCGCCCGCCAGGCAGGGCGGCGTCGACCCGCGCGAGCCCGGGGCCCAGCCTGGCCGCGGTGCGCTCAGCAGCCAGCCGATCGCGCACGTCCGCGAGCGGAGTGCCGGGCGCCGCGCCCACTCGGCAGCGCTCCTCCCCGCCGAGAGCGAGGAAGCGCACCGAGGCACCGTCGAACGACGCCTGCAGGAGCAACGTCGGCGGCGAGGGCGTCACGTAGGTCAGGCCGTCGCCCAGCGCCGGGAAGCTGCACTCGCGGCCGGCGTTCGTACCGCAGGCGACGGCCGTCCCGTCGCTCCTCAGCAAGGTTGTGTGGCACCTCCCGGCCGCGATCGACGTGTAAATCATGCCTTCCGCTAGCACTGGGATCTCCCTCTGCCCGTGAAGGTTGCTCCCACAAACCACGGCTGACCCATCGCTCATGAGCATGACCGTGTGGGTCCATCCAGCTGCGACCTGCGTATAGGTCAAGCCCCCCAATGCCTTGACCGCTGGCAACTCGCACTGGCCGTAACCCGCCACCATGCCCCTGTGGCATGCTGCTGCGTGCCAGAATGCAAAGGTGGTGTTTTGGAGGCCTTTCTATACATGTCTTCGGCCCCTCCCCCTCTTCATCGTGCCCGTTGCAGGCCCCCTCAACCCCCCCGCCGAGGCTCCCTGGCCGGCCCGACACCTCCCCTGGCGGTCTCAACGCCATCCAGGACGGCCAAGATGGCTTGCACGACGGCCCAAGAAAGAACATCGATCTCCACCGCGCCCACGAATCTTCAACGACAATCTCATAAGTCCCACGAAGCTCCACATGAGAGGCTATGAGAGGGCCCAAGAGAGGGTCTGCACACTCAGAGCTTCAGGCTTCCCACGCTTTTCGATTAAAGATCACAACTGATGCGGGTAAGGGCAGGGCGCCCAAGGACGGCTCCAGTGGCCCAAGAAGCGCACAATATGACCCAAAATGATCCCGAGAGGGCCTAAAAGGGGCTCCAGAGGGCCTCCAGAATGACCCTAGACTGCCCGAGGGGCTGCCAATATGGCCCCTGTGGGCCCCCAGAGAGCGCCCAAGCGCTGGAAGACGACCAAAGAGAACCTCGCGAGCAAAGACAATCCTGCTGAGGTCCAAAGAGGCTCCTAAGACACTCCCAGGGGGACCCAACAGACCCCCAAGGCCAGAAGAAACACCAACACGGCAGGCAAGTGCGAAACACAGCCTTGCAGACCACGACGAGCGGGTTGTGTATCCCGCTGAGCGGGGCGCACAGAGCGGCGGAACTCGCCACAAACTCCTGCATAGTTTTCGCCACAAGCCACTGCCGACCCATCGCTTCTCAGCAAAACCGTGTGGCAGTTTCCGGCTGCGACTTGCGTGTACGCCAGGCGTTCAGCTAGTTTGGGAAACTCGCACTGGCCATCATGGTTGCTGCCGCAGGACACGACCGACCCGTCGCTCCTCAGCAGGACAGTGTGAAGCCATCCAACTGCAACTTGCGTGTAGAACAGGCCTCCTTGTAGCGCAGGAATGTCGCACTGACCTGCAGGGTTGTCACCGCAGGCCACAGCCGATCCATCACTCCTGAGCAGAACCGAATGGTGCCCTCCAGCTGCGACCTGCGTGTAAACCAGGCCGTCCATCAACGCCGGAATCTCGCACTGACCTTTTCTGTTGCAGCCGCAGGCCACGGCCGAACCATCGCTCCTGAGAAGAACCGTGTGGCACGCTCCAGCGGCAGCCTGGGTATAGACAAGGCCTCCCTCCAGCGCCGGAACGTCGCACTGGCCTTGAGCGTTGCGGCCGCAAGCCACGGCCGCCCCCTCGCTGCTGAGCAAAACCGTGTGGCTGCCGACAGTGTCCCCTCCGGCGGCGACCATCCCGAAGCGCAGCCGGCGGGAGGGCCCGCGACCTGTGGAGGTGAGGAGCGACGCTCGGACCTGGAAGCCCCGGCTCGAGCCCGAGCGGCCGCGGGGAGGCGCTCAGGGCGCACGAGGGCCGCCGGAGGGCGGGAGCCCGCCGTGGCCCAGAGGGGCACCCAGGGGGCTCCCGGGGGGGGTGCACGGCACGGTGCGCAGGAGGGCGGAGAGGGGAGCGCAGGATGGCAATGGGAAGGCTCCAAACAAGACACCGCCACCGGCCCCGGCCAGGCCCGTCCTGGGCCCTGGACTGGTGGACAGGCCCTCCTGGCCTGGGCCTGGAGGTCTGTACACCAGTCCAGGGCCCAGGATGGACCTGGCCGGGGCGGCGTATTGTTCGCATCCCCCGATGGCAAGGGACGGCAGGAGGCGCGGCCTCGGTCGCGCCGCTGGTCCAGCCGAGCCACGTTCCGGCCTGACCTGGGCCCTTCTGGGGGCAGGGGGGGCGAGGAGCAGCAGCGGCAGGAGCCAACGTGCTGCGCCCCTCTTCAGCACAGCAGCAAGCTGCGCAAGCATAAACGTTCTCAGCTCCACGCGGGTCACTTGGGTCGGCGCTGGGCCCCCTTGCCCGGCCAGCGGCGGCGCCGGAGGCGCCGCGGGGCGTCCAGCGGCAACCCACGAGATCCGCATGGACCCCCCGAAAGTTTAGGCGCGTGCAGCTGTTGTGCGTCGATGCCCGTCTCAGAGCGCCGGGCGTCCGGGGGGTATGGGGTCGTCGTCGTCGACGTCGTCGGCGTCGGCGGCGTCGTCGGCGTCGGCGTCGGCGTCGGCGGCGTCGGTGTCGGCGTCGGCGTCGGCGTCGGCGTCGGCGTCGGCGTCGTCGTCGTTGTCGTGGTGATCGTGGTTGTCGTTGTCGTGGTCGTGGTCGTGGTCGTGGTCGTGGTCGTGGTCGTGGTCGTGGTCGTGGTCGTGGTCGTGGTCGTGGTCGTGGTCGTCGTCGTCGTCGTCGTCGTGGTCGTCGTCGCCCCCGAGAGGCCGCGAGGCAGTGGGCCGGCCCGTCGGCAGGAGGCGCCATTCCCCGCCACCTCCGCCGGGTCGCTGTCGCAGGCACTTCCCAGACAGCTTCTCGATCTCGGCCTTCTCCACCTCCCCCACCTCGGGAGGGGGAGGAGGAGGCAGGGAGGAAGGAGTGGATGAGCCGTCTGGAAGGAGGCGGGGGCAGGAAGGACCGAAGTGGGCGGAGGGAGGACGGAAGGACGAGGATGGCGGTGGTGGGAGGAAGCGTGGGGTGGAGGGAGGAAGGGGATGAGGAGGATCAGGGAGGGGGAGGGAAGAACAGGGAGAATGATAATGATAATGCCAAGCTCGATAGTGTCAAGGAGGAGGTATAGCTGAAGGTTGGTCAGGGAGGACGAGGACGAGGATGATAATATAGAGGCGGGAGGAAGGGACGGAGGATGAGGAGGAGGAGGAGAAGGTGGAGAAGGAACGTACGTGGCTTGGAAGATGGTGCCTCAGCTACTGCGCAGCACTAACAACGCATGGCAGCCAGTGCAGCAGCTCGTATTTGGTCGTGAAATGAAGGCGTGGCGCCCTGCGGACGCCGCGCAAGGTGCGCTTTCAGCTTATGATCGATGTGAAAGCTCAGGACCACAATCTTATGACATCGCGTTCGGTGGAAGAGGAGGAAGAGGAGGTGGAGGTGGGGAAGGGGGTGGGCGGAAGAGGAGGACGATGAGGAGGGAACAGGTGATGATGTAAAACATCGGCGAGTCCGTGGCACGGCGGCAAGGTCAGGCTGCCGGGCAGGCAAGCCTTGCCCCATCCCCCCCCGTTACCTGGCACCGACGGTGCGCATCCATGTACGGGCTTGAGAGACGCAGATCGGCCTGCGCCTCCGCCCCATCCCCCGCCCCCTCCTCTTCCAACAACGCCCCAACTCATCCTCCTCTGGCCCCCAACTGTATCCGCCCTCTCCTTCTCATCCGCCGGCCCCCTCCGCCTCCCTCTCCTCCGCCTCCTCCTCCTCCTCCGCCTCCGCTCCACCAGCCCCCAAACTCCTGCCCCCCTTCGACTCCTCCTCATTCTCTCACCCACTCCCGCCGCAACATAGGTAGAACGTTGCTACTGGCGACCCGGCCAGTTTCAGGTGGCGCAGCAGAGAACACGGCAGCGCAGAGGCAAAGCCTGGATCGCCAAAATGCGCGCTTGGCGCCACGTGGCCGCGCGATCGCCCCGGCACACAACATAGGCAACTCTGGGAACCCTGAATCTACACGTGTTGACATCTAATGGGGGCAGCATTTGGCTCCTGTTGCCCTTTCACGAGCTTCTGCTGGTGGAGCCGCCCCCGACTTGCTTCCGCTGGCCTGTTTGTTCGGCTCGCTACTCGCCCCTTCTGGTCGCTGGAATCTAGGTGGTGGGCCACATGCGATGGACTCAACCGGAACCGTCGTCTTCACGCGGTCAAGCATCCTGTCAGGCAGGGGAGGTTCGTACAAAGCGAGGGCCTTCTTAGATGGGCCTGACAACTTCAGGAATAATAGCTTGGTAGAAACCAGGACGGAGGATATGCATTATTCTGAAGATAAGGCTTATCAGAAGCCTCGGTGCCCCCGAAAGAACAAATCAGCACATACAACACACACACACATCACAGATCAGTAATCGAGGTTCGAACTTTTCGGGGGCGTTTGGGGGGCCTCTGGTGCTAACATGCTTATATAATAGCAGCATGCGGCGGCCCGTGTCGGGCTCTGGAGGGCGCTGGCTTGTACAATTGTGGCGATCTCCTCCTCGTCCTCCGTGCCTTCAATATCCTCTGTATGTCCTTCCCTGAAAATTCGGTAGGTTCGCAATCAATCAAAATCTGTCGAAAACCTGAATCTCTCGAAGTCCTTGTATTCGATGGCCTAGATTTACTGCAGTGCGCCCCTGTCTTCCGTATCCCCTCGTCGGCCCAAGCATCACAGCCCTCTTCTGGGAGCGTTCGTGCCTCAAATGAGCAAGACGGGGCTGGCAAGAGCAGAGGGAGCTGATCGCGAGAGTAGAGGGAGGTACAGAGGGCGGGGATGAGGTCAACGCCGAGGACACATAATCACAGAGGATGACCAACAGCATCAAGTTGAACCTGAAAGTACCGATGGTACCCAGGTTGAGGAAGAAGATATGGCGTGTATCGAGGGTGAGTTGGATGATGCGGAGCAGGACGAAGTTGAGGAACACGTAGGGTGGACGAACTGTGAGTGGGAGAGAAATGTGCGAAGGATATCGGTACTGGGCAGGAGGATGGAGAAACTTTCGTCGGCTCTCCCCTCAACCCCTGCCCCCTCCCGTTTCCCATGCCCCCCGCCATTATTCAATAGTACATTGGCATCTTTGAAACAGCTGCTTGCATGGCCAGGATGCGATACCCACACAACAAATACGAGCATTGCAACCGAATCGTCACTGCCTTTATCGTGACAGCCGTGTTGGTAAAGAAAGTGTTGCTCAAACTGATCGTGGTCTGCGTTGAATGGAAAGGTTGTGCTACGAGATTACACTGAATGCCGACAACGATTCCCGTGGTCCTGCTTTGCACAGACACTGTGCTTATAATGCTGCGTGCTGGCAATGATAGAATAATAGTTTTCAGCCCTCGGGACTTGCTGACGCCCTTCGGGCCTGATGACTGCTACACAACTAAAGCATCCTCAGAAGCGAGCCCAGGCGTGCTGAAACCCAACGTGCTCATGCAACTCAACACCCGTAGGCCCTTGAAGCCAGGCGTGTAACCATTTACTGTTACGTCGGCAGGGCCATAATCTGTGGATGCGAGGAGGCCACTGGTCGCCGAAGCGACGGTTGCGGTCAAGCCTTCTTGCAAAGGGCAACCGCTGGCTGCTTCTGAAGTGGTGTTGCACAATGCTGCAGACATCCTCCGACCCCATAGGGGTTACTCGGCTTGTGAACTGCTCGCGTCTCCCCAAACCCCTCCCCCTGGAAGCTCGGTCCAGCTGGTTTGGAGCGAGGGGGCTCCGGCCGGTTTGGCCTGTCTGGCCGAATTATTTGCTTCAGAAGTGCCCCCAGACGGCTTCAGACAGCCTCGAACTGGCTCCAAGAGGCCCCACGATGGCCGCCACGTGGCCCAAAGACGCCCCATGATGGCCTGAAGGCAGCAGAAGATGTCCCCAAGACACCCCCCAGAGGGCTCCAAGAGAACTCTCAAGAGTGCTCAGAAGCACAGATCGCCCCAACCCCTAAGGACAACATGCATCTTTTGCCATGCGCGCCTTCTTGGTCTCACCACCGTCCACGAAGGCCTAGGAGGCCTCCAGGATCGCTCCAAGATGGCCCACAAGGCGGCTCGCTGGGCCCCACGCCGCTCAAGGGGGCCTCAGAAGGGCCTCAAAACATCCTAAGGCGGCCCTCCAGCACGTCCCCAGGTGGGCCCTGGGTGAGCTCCAGACGGCCAACAAAGACGCCAAACGGATCCTCCAGCCGGACCCAGAACGGCTGCCGTAGCCTCCCGAGCTCCGCACAAGGCACGGAGCCTCCGCAAGACGGGCCCACAGGCTCTCCTCAAGGAGGCGGCGGCGCGGCGTAAGCCAACGAATCCCCTTCCACTGGATGCCAGCTGCCACAAGCGGGTACTCGACAGTGCCGCTGGATATGTTGCGCATGATCTTGAAGTGATAGGTCAGCTCCACCTGGTAGGTGACGAAGGACTCCTTTCGCACCCGTGCGCTCACGCCCGATATTGTCATCGACTCGTCGACTATACAGCCTGGCGGTCGTGTCCACGAGACGTTCAGTGCTTTCCAGTCGCCAGCGGCCGTCGTGGCGCCAACATGCCATGTCAGGCTGAAGACACAAAAGCAGCTCAAAAGACCTGCAACATAATGGAACCCAGGCATCTCAGCAAAGGGTATGGCAAACCTGCTGAGGAACTTGAGAAACGTGGCCCAAGCGCGAAGCAACGCGCCTTGCTGCAAAACGGCTACGGACGCTGGCCCTCCGATAAAGTTGCTTTTGTAGGGTTGCTGGTGTTGCGAGCGCATTGAAGATATGGCAACAATACTTGTGTTAACGGTGGACTTCTGTGGGTGAGCGATTGTACAAGCGTGCGGGTAACAGGGTGTGCAGCTGTGTTTGCGTGTATGAACAGATGGGCCTTCGAGGTTCCCCAAATCATAGACAGTTTGGCCTGCTGAAATTAGCAAGGGGCTCTTATCAAACATCGGGCACTTTCATCCACGTGGTGGAATATCGGTGAACACATATTTTATGCGCTCATGAGCTCGGTGAGTGAACGGATATAATTACGGATTCCCGGGGGCGCGCGGGCGAGTCTCTTGCGGGTTCGCCCCGCGCCCAAACAACGTGTAAGCAATCATGATGTGCGGATGCCCAGGCATGTGTGGGGTGTACACCCGGGCCCCTATCGCATCTCCCCCTCGTCGTTGCACCTATGGAGGATCGGCTTCTCACGGGGGGGGGGGGCGCAGATGCCCGCAGCAACCTGAGCGCGACGACCCGAAAGCTCGAACCACCAGCAAGGCCGCGTCATGGACACCCCGTGGAGGGCGGGACCGTCTCATCCGAATGGGCTGCCCCGCCCGCGGCCCGCCTTCACCTTCTGCGCCTCGATCTGGGTGCCGGCGCTTGCAGTGCAGCTCCACAGCAAGAGAACCAACGCGCCAATTGCTGCACGTACGCTCTGCAAAACGTGCTTGCGCTCTGCACGCGTGTCTGCCGCGTCACAACAAGATTCATCACGTCCGCGCCCGGCGCTGGAGCGCGCACCGCGTAGACAGACATGCGCGCACGCATGCGCACGCGAACATGACTTGTGCGCAGAAGTCTTCAAAGTCCCACCAGCCCTCTGGGCGACAGGTGGTCTAAGGAGGGTTGGTTTCCTCTTCCACAACCCCTTTCCATTCGGGGAGGGGAACCCTTTACCTCCCCTCCCTGAAGCTTTTTTGGAAGGATCGCGAGGTGTCGGAGGCTCAGTTTTCGGCCATTTGGAGGGCCATTTCTTCCCACCCCTCGCGAGGATCGTGGCCCCCGAGGGGGCGACCTAAATCGAGTACCCCCCTCTTTTGACCGACCGCCTCCAAGATGGCCTCAAGAGGTCCTCCAGGGCCCCCCAAGAGGCCCCAAAGAGGGTTCCACTAGCGCCTCAAGAGGCTCCAGGAGGGCTCAAAGAGGCCGTCGAGAGGCCTCCAAGACGCCCCAGAATGGCTCCCTAAGCGGCCTCAGAGAGCCCAGGATGAACTCCAAAATGGCTCAATATAGTCCAAGCTAGCTCAAGATGGTCCCAAAATGCCCCAAGAGGCCGCAAGACCGCCCCAAGACGGCTCGAGATGGCCACGGAGCCCCTCCAGGATGCCGCCGAGATGCCCAAATCCTTAAAAAACATACCGAAAAGAACATGAAGTTGGCCTTCTCGCCTTTTTGCTTACGATGGCCTTCGGGGGCCTCCCACATCCTTCAAAAACGTACCGATCATGAATGAATCCCACCAGCCCTTTGGGCGACAGGTGGTCTAACGAGGGCCCCTTTCCTCTTCCACATCCCCCCTTCCCTTCGGGGGGGGGGGGGTCTGCGATATTCGGTCTCTTTACAACCAGAACAACCACTTTACAACCATATGGGTTACTTTACAACCAACATAGGATTGGAAAGTATTGTTTTTTTTTTCATCGAAAACGTCCACTTTGCAACCAGAACGGCCCACTTTACAACCAGAACGGACCACTTTACAACCAGAACGAGCCACTTTACAACCAGAACGGCCCACTTTACAACCAGCTCAGAGTGGCCGTGCGTGTTTGGGCGTTCCGCAAAGTGCTCCAGAGCAAGTGGGCGCTCTGAAAAATGCCCCAGAGCAAGTGGGCGCTCTGAAAAATGCTCCAGAGCAAGTGGGCGCCCTCAAAAGTGCTCCAGGGCGCGCGGACGCTCTGAAAAGTGCTCCAGAGCACGTGGGCGCTCTGGAGCCCGAGCGCCTGAACTCCCTGCGCAGGCCCCAGCGATGCCTCTGAGCCCGAGCGCCTGAACGCCCTGCGCAGGCCACAGCGATGCCTCTGAGCCCGAGGACCTGGACGCTCCGCGCAAGCCCCAGCGATGCTTCTGAGCCCGAGGACCTGGACGCTCTGCGCAGGCCCCAGCGATGCCTCTGAGCCCGAGCGCCTGGACGCTCTGAGCAGGCCCCAGCGATGCCTCTGAGCCCGAGCGCCTGGACGCTCTGGCGCTCTGAGCCCAGCAGACTAAGACAGGGCTTGCTAGCAGGGGCCAAGCGGCCTCAACAAGGGCCCCGTGCTCGCACGGGAATAAGGCGACAGCATACGTAGGAAGGCTCAGGGCGACGCGCTGCCCATTTTAGGGGTCACTCACAGGAAGCGAGCCCAGTGGCCTCCACAAGGGCCCAGCGCCCCAGGAAACTAGGCCATTGGCACCGCGGGTCTCTTGGGCCACGTTGGCCCCTGAAGCCCCGCGGTGTTCTGCAAGGGGCTAAGTGCTCCAGCTCCAGTTGGCCCCCTGCTGCTCCTCTTCTTGGAAGATCGAGGTTCAACGTCCCGAATACATGCAACTATTTCGAAGATCGTTCCTTCCAGCGTCAGCCGCCACAGTGCCACCGTGCCAGCGCAGCAGCTTGAGCCACCGTGACAGCGCATCACCGCCACCTTTGTGCCTGCTGCCACCACACTTACCGCTGCAGCCCCGCTACCTCCACAATTCCGACTGACCCCCCGCTACCACCGCAAATCCCATTGCAGCCCAGCTACCACCACAGTTCCCACCGCTGCCTGGCGACCACCACAGTTGCCACCGCAGCTCCCCAACACCGTGCAGTTCCCATCGTAGCCGCCGCTACCACCACATCTCCCACTACAGCTTCCCACTGCCATGCAGCTCCAGTCTTGGAAGGGATCATGGTTTATTCGTATATCCTGCGCGACTAGCCTTCGTCCGTCAGAAAAAAAGCAGAGCAAGCAATGGCAGAACTGACCAGCAGAGCTTAGAGAACAGGTCAAAACCCTAATCCGCCCACCAGCACGCAACATACCATAGCGCACCAGGTCGCCGCATCGCCAACGCGTGCGCAGTGCTTCTTCGTGCGCGATGGGCAACTTTACAACCAACGTGCCTCAAAGAGCCCAAGGCCACCCTTGCGCTTGCCCACGGAGATTTCAGGGAAAGGCCCGCGTGCATTCAATATGTGTTTTTACTTGCCTGGTTGTAAAGTGCCCTTCCTGGTTGTAAAGTGCCCTTCTCGGATTTTGTAAGCTGGTTGTAAAGTGACCCATCTGGTTGTAAAGTGCGCTTCTGGTTGTAAAGTGACCCACACGCGGGACCCTGCCCCTCCCCTCCCTGAGGTTTTTTGGGAAGGGGGTCGCGATGTGTCGGAGGCTCCTTTTTCTGCCACTGGGAGGGCCAGTCTTTACCACCCTCACGAGGATCGTGGACCCCGAGGGGGGGACGCAAATCTAGTACCCCCACTCATTCGACCGACCGCCTCCAAAATGGCCCCAAGAGGCCCGTCAAGGCTCCCGAGAGGGCTCCAAGATCGCCCCAAGAGGCCCCGAGAGGGCTCCGAGAGGCACCCGAGAGGCACCCAAGAGGTCCCCGAGCGGCCATAGAGAGCCTAAGATGACCTCCAAGATGGCTCAAGAAATCCAAGCTGGCTCAAGATGTCCCCCAAGATGCTCCAAGCGGCCCCAAGACCGCTCCAAGACGGCCCGAGATTGCCACGGAGCCTCCCAAGCCGCCCTCGCTGTTTGACTAGGCGTGTCTCTTCCTCTCCCCCTGCCAACTCTCATGGACATCGTTTATGGATGGGCTGGTGGGGATAAGCGCGTTGCCAGGAGGGCCTTAGAGGCCCCGGAGAGGGCCCTAGGAAACTCCCAAGAGGGCCCCAAGAGCTCAAGACGGCCGAGGTCCCACAATGCCTCAAAGATGGCCAAGCAAGGTCACAAGACACCCCCGAGAGGGCAAAAGGCATACAGATGTGGTTTCAATGCTGGCTCCAATTCGTCTGCCTGTCGCATTCTGCTCCTAACAGGTCTAAGGACCGCTTCAACATGCCGAAAGGTGCCGCCTCCATCGCTCAGGAATATGCCCTCAAGATGAACCTCGTTAGCTTCATATCTACAACATGCCTGATGCGATACTGTTCGCGCGGAAAAAACACTTCAAGGAAACGTACGCTCCTGTTTCTCGAACACCTTTGCCCGCTCGAGGAAGTCAGTCTCCTCAGTGTAGTTGGCGTTCGAACAAAGACTCAGCGCCTCAGCCGAAATTTGATGCTGGAATTGTAACAAACAAGCTAACGACGATCAGTAGGCGTGCAAAGGAATGTACACATCTTTATCTGCAGCGCTGGCGGTCGGTCGCAAGCGCGCCTGTAAGCCAGCACAAAAATGAATGTACTCATGTGAGCCAAAAAACAAGTAGCAACCAACAACGAAGCTTGTTTTCGGCAGAAAACACTTCGAGAGTGAATGCCGTGTCTAAGCTGGATAGAGCTTATAGTCAGCGCACGGCTCACCTATTGGATGCTTATTGTGAGACTGCATTGCGGAGATCACAAAACTGAACACAGTCCAACGCGTGCACACGATCGGAATGGCCAGCTTCCGAAGAGGAGCGTCGACTCCTGACAAAGGTGGCGAATCAGAGACGCACACTCCGGACACGCTGGACATGTGTTCAGGACAGGAACAGAATTCCATGATAAACGAATAATATCGGCCCTGGCAACTGATGTGATATTATCGGCCATGCTTCGGGAGCGGCCAAGAGGGGGGTGTCCAAGAAGGGGGGGTGCAAATCATGACCGGCGGCATGTGTGCGGCCCAGCGGGGGGGCCAGGGACGTAATGAAACAAGAAGAGGCGCCACGAAACCTGGGGAGATATCATGGCCCCCGCCATGACATCCACCCCCCCCTAGTCATCACCCCCCTCTTTGCCGCCCCCGGATAATATCGGCCCTGGCACCTGATGTGATGTTATCGGCCATGCTGTGAGCGCCGGCCAGGGGCCGGGACAGACGCGCACCCCGAGTTCCTGCAGAGGTCATGGGGACAACGTCGACAATGGCCAGATGAAAGGGAGGGGGGGAACATGAATACATCGTATATCGACACGCATCGCGATTGCAACGTATCAAGAATAAGACTACGTATGTGGCCCACAGACGGATTCTAAGACTAAGATTGATATACCGTACACCTTGCATGTGTGAGCTCGTGCTTGCCTAAACCTAATACTGGATCTCAGCATAGAGGAAGGAGGGAGGAGGGGGGCAGGAGGCTGGGAGACCAGGGAAGGTGGGATACGCACAGACACACACACACACACACGCACACACACAAACACACACACAGACACGCACACACACAACACACACACACACACACGCACAACACACACAGCGACACGCACACACGAACACGCACGCACGCACGCACGCACGCACGCACGCACGCACGCACGCACGCACGCACGCGCGCGCACGCACGCACGCACGCACGCACGCACGCACGCACGCACGCACACACACACAGACACACACACACACACACACACACACGCACACACGCACACACGCACACACGCACACACACACACACACACACGCACACGCACACACACACACACACGCACACACGCACACACGAACACACACGCACACGCACACACACGCACTTCTCCTCCAGCGCGGCGATGTGGCACACTCGCCGGAGCAGTGCGCCGCCCTGCTCAAAGGGGCAGGCATGGCGGCCGCACGCCGCCGCGCAGGGCCCCGGCGGGGTGGCCCGCGCGCGCTGCGGGGCGCCGGGCAGGGCCGCCGCGCTGCCGCCGCGGGCGGCGGCTCTGCTGCCGCTGCCCGCGGTCTGGGGCCCGCGTGCGCGAGGCTGCCTCGGGCCATCGCTCGGACGTCCGTTCCCCGTGTTTTTTTTCGGTGTCGTGCGTGGTTATTTTTTTCTCGCCAGAGGATCAGGGATGCTCCTGGATGGTCCTCGCCGAAGGAAAAAAGGCACACGTCCGAGCGATGCCAAGGCCTGGCGCGCGGAGCTGCCTGCGCGCTGGGTGCAGGGCCCTGGGCCGCTGGGCCGGCGCTGCGAACGCGTGCCCCTCCTCCCCGCTCCCATCCCCCCCCCCTGCGACCGCCTCTCTCTGCCGCCGGGCTTCCTCGCTGGGTAATGCGGGATGACGATTAATAACCAAGAATGGGAGAGTCGGAGAGAACGATTAAAACATAGTTTTCTGCTATTTCTGCACAAGTTTCTGACTGGAGGAGAAAGATAAAAAAAAAAAAAAGTTGTTCAGCCCGCGGCCGGTTTTTTCTAATCGTCATCCCGGCCGCCGCCGCGTGAACACAACCCCCGGTCATTTATTAATCGTCATCCTCCTTTAGATCACGCGCGCGCCGCCGTCGAGCACTGGTCGTCGACGTGGTCACCGCGACACGCCCTCGCAACGCCTGAATCGTTTGGGCGAGGCCTGCCGCGGTGGGACGCCGCGCGAGCGCAAGTGCCGCGGCGGACTGCGCGCCACATTCGCGCCGGCCTCGGGGGTGGCGCGCTGGCGCTGGTGCTGCAGCCACGGGCGATTGCTGGGCAGCCGCTTGCACAAGGCATTGCACCCCTGGAACGGTTTCCCCACCGCAAGCACGCCACCACTCCGCCAGCAGCTGAGCATGCAAGCGCCACTCTCTAGAGTGTCGCGGCCAACGTCCGCCGCTGGGCCACTGTCCACGAGCAGCGCTGACTGCAGGCTCACGGGGGAGGAACGAGAGAAAGGAGGATGAGGAAAGAGAGAGAGAGAGAGAGCAGGTGGGGAAGACGAATAATGATGAGACAATAGTTGTACGAAGAAGACGAATACGAAGAAAAAGAAGACGAGGTGGATGGGGACGAGGCGGGAGGAGTAGTAGCATGAGGCAGATGGTTCGGGGCTGCCAGCAAGCAGGGTTGCACTGGTGTCAGAACTACACTCGGAGATTGCGAGTGCGAACAGAACGGCAGGTACGAAAATACCGCCTTCTCTGGTTCCAAGGCGGCCTACTCGTCGTTACTGCTTGCCAAAGGCAGACGGCTAATGCAGCAACGCACGCTTGTGTCCATGCGCAAGGCGTGGAAAACAACCTAGAACAACCTCTTGACGTCAACAATTCAATGCGCAAGAATACGGAAAGAACGCGCAATCACGAACCTATGAGATTTCGCCGCCCGAGCATCGGACTGGAGCAAAGCTCTTTGCAAGAACCACACACGTCTCTTCGTCGTACACTGGAGGCCTGGGTAACGCCAGGAGTCAAAGCGGCACCGCACCTTGCGGCTCCCCAGAATACACGAGTGCCTGGCGGACACATCATTGGTTGAGACTGCTTTCTGCAAGGGCGGGGTACTGCGACTCCCTTCGCGCAGCGTCAGGCTGCCACACGCCTCTTACATGCTGATGCCGCTACCTGCAGTCACGCGCACCTAGCTGCCCCGTTACGCAACACGCACCACGTAGCGTGTTGACAAGGTACTCGACACGTAGACTGAAATTGTAGGTCTGGCGCGATACGCTCGCCAACACGTGGGCCAACACGTTGCGCCAACCCGCAACGTATTCATACCACCGTATTGAACACGGCACGTGTTGCGTTTCAACACGTGCGTGTCAGGGCAGCTAAGCCCGCGCAACCTCGAACGTGAATTTGCCTCCCAAAACGTCTTTACTGGCTACCCAACGATAAGCGGGGAGCTGAGGCCGATGAGCCGCAAACCTTGCTCGTGACCTGGTAGCACTCCCGCTTGAAGGCCTCGCGAGGGGGACATCTCGGAGTGGGCACCCAGAGCTTCTGAGACTCAGGGAAGCGCAGCAGCCTCTGGACCCTCACACGCTCGGTACATTTGCACGGCCAGAGCTTGAATTATACAGGCTCGTGGCACGCGACATGCAAGGAAATAGCAAGCTACATGTCAGCGGGAGCCAAACTGAATGTCAACGTGATGAAAATTTCAATGTGCGATACATGCAAGCCAACAAACAATAGGCACTACGAACACGCCCGGAGCAACAAACACGCGCTGCTTTGGGAAAGCCGAATCCGATGTAGAGACAAGCTGCAGCTAATATGATTGCAAACATCAGGCAAACTAAAGGCGGGCTAACGACAAGTCAAACCTGGCGTGCAACATGCGCACTCAAACTGGCAATGCAAGGGATGTCTAAAGTCAGCCGTACACATACAGCTGGAGGCAGCATGAATACATGGTAGTTTGACGGAGGTGCAAGCCCAAGGCGAGCCAAGCCCAAGGCGAGCTGAAAGACAGCCTGCAGGCGAACGGCCAACAATCGAATCCTACATGCCGAGCAACAAATTCAAACCAAACGATCATATCCCTCGAAGAACTGGGGGGCGACCCCGTACAATCAACTGTGCGGTCGTGTGCCCAACAGTGGGTACTGCTGACGCCTGTAATCTTTTGGCGACCCCATGCGCTGGGCGGCGGGGCCGACACCCACTGCGTGCGCCCCGATGTTTGACCCCAGCCTTCCCCTTCCCGGTGTCCTGTCTGGCCATGGGCGCACCCGAATCGGAGGAACAAAAAGCCGAAAACTCGGTTCTGGGTAAGAGATCGAGAGAGGATGACCTCGAAACGCCCCTTGGGATGAAGCTCCCAGGGCAGCCTCGGGGTCTCCCCAGGCCCTTGAGGTCAGCAGAGCCCTGAAGAGGGCGCCCCGTCCCAGTCGGCGAAACAACGCCTACCCGATGTCAGCCCAATTTCCCGCCTCGCGCCACCGACCAACCCCTCCCCTACGACTCGCTTATCACTCTGAGTTGCTTCTTGACGGTATTTGTGCTGCTAGTCCCAGACTCTATGGTTTCGAACCTCTGGGGTCTGGGCAGGAACGACCCTCCGGCCCAGGCAGCGGGACGCGATGTGCGGTCATCCTGGCGATTCCCGCGGGAGCCCGACCTCCAAGCGGCACCATCGGAGCGGGGCCCTGACCAAGAGATCCGAACGATTTGTTGTTCCACCGCAGCGTTTTCCCTCGACATTTGGTCCCTGGGGCCGTCTCCCAGCCCCAGGATTATCAAACTTTTGTCTGGGGTGCAAAACGATCTCCCGAGAAGCGATCGGGAGCTCTGGGGCTCTGTGGCCGCGGAGTGAGAACATCACATCGGTGAGCGGCGGACCGACCCCCTAAGCGCCAAGTCTTGCCCTCGACTTGCCCTCGACACTCGAGGATCGCGGAGGGAAATGTTCGATTGCGTACGGGACGTGTTGCGTCCGCTCCGCTGCTTCCCCATCTCCCATCTCCTAAGATGGTGCTCTTATCATTCGTCTGACGCCACCACCTCATCACCCTCCTTCTTCCTGCCACACTCAGACTCAGTCATTCTCAGACTCACTGACATCCAGGCCACGTCACACTCAGACTCACTCATACCCAGACTGCTCATACTCGGACCCCACACACCCCCAGACCCACTGGTGCTCAGACCCACTCGTACTGAGCCTCACTCATACTCAGACCACTCACCCACATCCACTCAGACTCCGCTTAGTCAGACTCAGCTTCATTAGCCAAGACCACTCACACCCTGATCATTCACTCTCACACTCACTCACACATTCAAACTGACTCAAACACTCAGAGTCACTCACACTCAGACTTACGCACTCAGACCACTCACGCTCATAAGTACTCATGGCATCTCACACTTTGCCACCGGTACTCAGACCCGCTCACACTCGCTCATCGTACTCAGATTCGCCCATGCTAGCCGCGATGTAGCAGGCGTGGCGCTTGGGCGGGAGCCGCCAGGGAGGGGAGCCACCTCCCCGTTTGCGGCCAGATTGTGGGGACGTCTCGAGCGAGGCGAACGTTTCGCACCCCCGACCCCTGTCTGCTGAAGGAGGCAATACTTTTTCGGCGCCGCAAGGGGGAGCCGCCGGGGAGGGGGACGCGTGCCCGTTCGCGCCCCGGAGTGTGGGAATGTCCCCCACGCTGGGAGATCGCTTAGCACCCCCGACCCCCGTCTTGTTGAGGGCTTCATGGTCACAGCGATACCCGTCGGTCGGAAGAAGTAGGTAGAAATGAAATAGGAAGGCGGATATAGTGGATTGGGTTCAGGTCCTCCCAGAGAATAACGAGACACAGCAAAAGCATGCCGACTCTTGAAGTAGGAAGGCGCTTGAAGTAGACGGGGATCTGGGGATCTGGGAATCCAAAAATACCTGCTTTCAACGACCAGCGTGTACAGCAAACGTGGCACTTGGTCACCCCGTTGGAGGAGCCGCCAGGGAGGGGGGCACTTGCACGTTCGCGGCCGGACTGTGAAGAGCTGTCGAGCGATGCGAACGTTTTAGGCCCCCCCGCGACCCCTCTCTTCAGAGACGTTCGTGATCACGGCGGGGAGTGAGGCACAGCTTTCAGGCATCACAAGAAGCCGCCAGGGAGGGGGTCACTTACCCGTCCGCGGTCTCGAGCGAGCAGGTCGTTTTGCACCTCCGACCCCTGCCTTTTTGAAATCTGCATGGTCACCGCAAGATAACAGACATAGCGCCTGGGCTCCCCAAGGCGGAGCTGACAGAGAGGGGGTCGCTTGCCCGCTCACGACAATATTGTGCAAATACCACGAGGGGGCCGCTCCCCCCTGAGAGCCCCGTGACCATCGCGATGTGGCAAGCGTGGCACTTGGGCACCCCGAGGAAGAGCCGCCGGGGGTTGTTGAACTCCCCAGTTCGCGGACAACAGTGTGGGGATGTCTCAGGCGACAAGCTCGTCTGGCGGTGGACCGGCGAAAAGGAGAATCTGTTCGGCCGGGCGAAGAAAACAGCGGCAGGCGAACGGGAAATTCATGTTCCCAAGAGGGGACATTCTGCAAGGCGGACTGTTTTTTTTCGGACGAGCGGCAACTTTTCTCAGGCGGACGATGGAAATTCTGGCCGCGCCTGGAGGGAAGTGGACCTCCCAGCGCATCGAGACGCTGGGAAGCCTGGCTGAAAATCTGATCCCGCCGCGCCCACCAAACGCCCAACGCCAATCAGGGACAACCGGCCCTGTGACCACAATCGCTTCTCCGACCGTCATCCCCCTTGAGCCCCCCCTGTCCTAATACACAACGGAACTATGGATCAATCGAGGGTGTGGTTCACCCCAAGCTTGCCCTGTGAACCTCAGTGAGACACCGGAAAGCAAAACGCCTGCCTGTTTTAGCATTGAAAGCTCCACCCTTGAGTCAAGGGTGGAGACTCTCATCAAGGGCCTTGACGAGAGCCTCGGCCAACCCCCGGTTTTCTGTGTTGGGGCAGGAGCCTTTGATATCGGCAACGGGATTCGGAGGCACCCGAATACTTCACTTCGCGAAGGACACGCGAACACGATGATGATACATCGAATAGGCAACGCGATGATGACTGCAATGACTCCAAACGATAACCAAGCACACACTTGCTCAACAGAACAATGCCATGGGAGCAGCTGCGCCGACCAACCCGCAGTAGACAGCAAAGGGAGACTTCGCGAAGGCAGCGCAGACACGCTGCGCAGCGTGGAGCCGGATCCCCCTCCGGCATGTGGAGGCGACCGCCTCGAGCCGCATTGCCGTCGTGGCTCACTTGTCGGCGGGAGTCCCTCGCTGGATCGGTTCCTCGATCCCCAGTGATGCCGAGGCCCGAGAAGAGCCCGTGGAGAGGACCACGACGCCCGCTGCTCCCTAGTTCCTCCCCCCCAACCCTCCCTCCACGAAGCCTCCAGGGCCCGGACTTGAGGGACCCTTGAACCTGATAACAATCTTAAGCCAACAATTTTCGATGGTGCCATACATGTAGCTTATCGTCGACGTTCTGCTGTGCTACGTGCTCTAGCGCGAAATCCATGTCGCCTGACACTCCTTCAGCCCTCCTCTGTCCTCCTCCTTCCCTCTTCCTCCTCCTCCCTCCCTCCTTCCCCCCATCCATCCTCAATCCTCGTTCTCCACCTTGTTCTCCTGATCCTCCTCCTCCTCCTCCTCCTCCTCCTGCGCCCACTTCCCTCCTCATGCTTCGCATCCTGCTCCGACGCCTCTAGCCTCCCTCCTTTAACTCCTCCCCATCTTCCCTCTCCCACAACTAGCAGGATCGCAAGGTCAACCGAGCCAGCCGGTAGAAACATTCCCGCCTCTTCCTCCTCCACAAATCACACAATATGAATACTGCTCCTCTCTCCCCTGATGACGTCCGGAAGAAATGCGCCCCCCCCTCAGCGAACGACTTTTTACACACAGGATTCCCGAGAACTGGGTTTTCGCTTGGCTTTTTTAAAACATGTTGCTCCTGATGAAGAATGGCCTCGTTTTCGGCCTGCCGCTCGTTCCGAATCGTGCTCCCGCTGCAGCGCTGGCCTCAATTCCGCGCTTCCGCTCGTTCCGAATCGTGCTCCCACTGCAGTGCTGGCCTCATTTCCTGGTTTTCATTTGTATTTTTGGCAATCAGATTCTTTTCGGTCCTTCAGAATGCTGCTCTCGCTGCAACGCTGGCCCCGTTTCTCTGGTTGTTCCAAACCGTGCTCCCGCTGCAGCGTTTCCGGTCCCTTCACACAGGCCCCAAATCTAGAAGATTACTCCCAGAAAAGCATCGCAAGTGATTTTACAAACCAGTGCCAGGTCATCGAGTTTTGGGGAGAAGGCCCCCCCACTTCGGGGCGGCGGCTTTTGGAGGAAGCATCAAGCGGGAAGCCCGTTTTTCTACCAGCCTGGAACATATCCCTATCCCTATGCTGGGCATCTCCTTATCACGATGCCAATCTTAGGAATTCCCCTATTTTTTG